ATATAGGTCTGTAGTCATCACTAGAGGGATCACCAGCAAAAGGAAGGTGGCCCTTTTTCCTCTACATAGATTTTAAGTTATCGTTAGAGGGATGACCAGCAGAAGGAACGAGGTTCTGATTCCCCTATATCAGTGGTCCCCAACCCCCGGGCCCGCGGACCAGTACCGGTCCGTGGATCAAATAGTACCGGGCCGCCCAAGGAACATTAAATTATTTCCATTTTATTTACTGTGGTGTATTTCTCTCGGGTTTGTCCGACTTTCCAGGGCGAGAGGTTAACCAGGAGCTGAGAGACGTTACCTAAAGCCGCACCAATACCGCGCATGCGCAAAATATCGTGATATCGGGGCGGTTTTAGGTGACGTCTGGAGCTGAGCGGCTGCAAGCGGCAGTGGCGTTGTAGCTTTGGTAAAGAGAAGGTGTGTATCGCTCTTCTCTCTGTTCACCGGTACTTTCTCATGTTTAACAGTGCTTGGTGTACGTGTATATTGTGTTTGCTCAAATTTAACCCACAAATTAGCAAAAATGAGTATGAAACAGACGTCGTTAGAAAGTTTCCCTGGGAAAAAGAAAAGGCCCAGTGAAGAGACAAAATGTAATATTGAGAGTCCAGAGATAAGCAACAAAAATTGCAAAAAGGGCTGAGGGATAAAACATATCAGGTGGAACTTAGCATGTAGAGTCTAGAGGAAATAAGGGGGGGATGTGACTGAGACCTTTAAATACATTAAGAGTGTGAATAAGATTCAAAAGAACAGAATTTTCAATACGAAGGTAAAATCAAGAACATGGAGACAGAATAATGGATGCTTGAAAAAGACCTCCAGCAGAGGTACTGAATCAGAAATTGAATTTAGAGGAAAATATAGTCTCTCCACTGCTCAGAGTCATATTGAGGCACTGAAGCTCTATACCAGTGGTGGCGAACCTATGGCACGCGTGCCAGGGAGGGCACGCAAGGCCCTTTCTGCTGGCACGCGAGCCCAGGTTCAGGCCACAAAACATTAGTGCAGCCGACGGGGAGAAATCGGAAGGGCGAGCGAGCAGGAGGAGAAGGGGGACAGAGCGGCAGGGGGGGGTAATAGATCTGACTGACCCGGATCGCCTTGGTATGCGATCCGGGCCAGTCACAATTAGGCAGCGGCAGCCAATAAACAGGTAGGTTAGACGGCTGCTTCCTCCTCGCTAGGACCTCGGGAGGCCCCCGCAAGCGGCCGTCTAATCTGCCTGTTTAGAGGTCACCGCCGCTGCCTGATTGTGACCGGCCCGACTACAGAGGCGATCCTGGACGCTCAGGTCCCCCGTGAGAGCCGTACAAGGCCGTTAGGCAGTGATGTTGAACGTTTCTTAATCCCGAGCACCCAAACTGCATTACCAAACTTATTTTCAGCGCTGGCACTTTGAGATAAATACATTGATTTTGCGTCGCAGTTTGGGCACTCGGGTTCAAAAAGGTTCAAAAAGTGACAGTGAGCTGAGAAATGCAACCACTGATCGCTCAGCTCTCGGTCTCTTCTCCTTGCAGAGAGAGCAGTGACTTTCAGTCAAGGCTCCCTGGAGGGATTCACCTCATCCATCTTTATTCCTCCAGCACTCAATAAGGGGACAGGCAGGGAAAAGGGTGGGCACAGCTGACGAGGCTCAAGAGAGGCAGAGCCAGCGGTCATTTAGGCAGTCAGGGTATATCCCAACAATATTGTTGGGATCCTTCCTTTCTGCCGTATGGCTCTGCACTGTTAGCAACTGCTGACTTTGGGTCACCACTCAAGTATACGCCTGTGGCCAAAAAGAGAAGTAAAACAAAAAGGTTAAAGGAGAACTATGGGGTCAGTGTTTTTCCCCATAGTTCTCCTTAGGGTAACGGGAGGACACAAACTAGCGTCCTCCCGTTACCCTAAGCTCAGTATACCGCGAGCTACAGCAGATCCCGACTTAGACTAAGCTATGGCCAGATCCTTCAGCAGCTTCGTGAATAGACCCCTTGGTATCTATGGATCAACATTACCATTTTAAAATCTATGTGAGATGTTAGTGATTTTGTTTTGATGTATATGTCCATATATTCTGAAAGATGACATAATCACTTCAAAGCATTTTTTTTTGTTTTTTTTGCACGTGTGTGTTTTTTGCATTTGCTTTTTTTTTGTATAACCTATGATCCGTGTCTAAACTATTTGTAGACTGCTCTATTTTCTTTCTAAGCTACATAATCCTATAGCAAACCTCAGCCTCAGTTGACATGTCATCTTTCACTACCTATGGTAACCTGATGTACTGTACAGCCAAGTGTAAGCTAGGTAAGTATTATAATGTTATATACGTAGGGCTACTGTAGCCAAACTGCAAGAAAGTTTCTTAATGGAAGGTCTGGTAAGCCTGTGTAAATATCAGCAGGTAACATAAAGTACTTGGCATAAATCCCTGGAAACACTTTAACACATTTAAGAGGTTGATAATGACACGACATTCCCTCTTTACGTATCAGCAGTGTCTGTTACAAAGGTTAACGGTGGATTTCTGAAGTTTCCTATCTTCTGAAATGCTACTTGTCAAAAACATGACAGTTCACTTTGGCAAAGAAGTTAACATTTAAAGTGTACGTATACCCAGCATTTGGGCTTCGGGCTTTGGGTCCGTACAAATGTGGCCACTGTGCCCATTCAAGTTAATGACAGACTGACAGCGCCTGCACCTGTCCATGGCTTTCCGCAAGTAACTTATATGGGCACAGCGGCCACATTTGTGTGGACACACCTGAAATTCCCAGATACCGTGTTCATGAGGCTTTAGGCCCCATTCACACCAGGGTTTAGCGGGAACGTGCGTCACAGAAATGCATATTGCCACACAATTGCGGGTCTTTCTTTCCCCCGTTTGGGGTCCCTGATTGCGCCAAACGTAGAAAAATAGTACATATTGCAAATTTGGCTGCATGTGTCCCAGATGCGTTTGGGGTATTATTACCTCGTAATGGCAGCGCAATCATGTTCTGCATTTGTGCACACATCATGAATGCTCATCGAAGCATGCACTTTTGTGCACAATTTGATGCACGATCAAGAAACCCCCTAGTGTGAACAGGGCCTTAAAGAGGAACTTTACCATATATTTAAAATAACAACAACCACACCTTTAAAAATGTTTAGTAATGACAATCTACGAACACATACTTCTAGATAATTGCCGCCTTTGTATTCTTTGTATACCTTACTTCTCTTTTCTCCCTCAGTCTTCTGACAGTGGCCATGTTTACTAAGGGCAAATTACTAGATCTCCCTTTACTTACTGGAAATCTGGCACTTGTGAGATTACAGATGAGATTTCCCAGCAATGCTCTGCTGACCTTCCAGTATGCAACACTTGGGCACTTACATCATTTGTGCCAGAAGTGGACCGGGAACTGGATGAACTCTATTTGTCAGCAAATTAAAAACATGTTTGTTTAACTAATGAATGTAAGCTGGTGTGATCTTCGTCAGAGATCTGCAGCTCCATAGTATATGGAGAAGGGTACCAACCTGCCCGCACTCCCTCCAGCACAACGGCGAGTTGGCTGGAGCAAATTTTGCTAGGCGGTACGGAGTGAGGTACCATCTCAGAGTTATTTTGTGGAAGAGCTCCCACAGGTCAGCACTCTTCGTGGCGGTGTGGATGTAGCCACAAGCTGCCTCCCACGTCTCTGGAGGGAAAGACTCGCCCAACTCCCTTTCCCACGCCAAAAAGGCTGGTAGCTTGGTAAAAGAACTCTTTGCAGATAGGGAATTCTCGTGCGGGTCTGTTTGGCTTTTAGGCGGGACGCCAGAAGTTTGCTGGCTTTACTGCCACTGACGTAAAAGTTGGATCTAATATTCATGGTTTGTCTACAATGCTGTTCCATGAGAAGTTTCCTAAGGTCTAGTCGAAGTTGGGATAGAGTTGAGGAGCGGTTGGGACAGGGCTGCTGTTTATTGTCAGCTTCGAGTTTGCTAATTTCCGAAATGAGCTGGTCTAGAGCCCGTGACCTCTGCCTCTTGAACCTAGAGCCCTGCTGGATCAGTAGACCTCTTATGTACGCCTTATGGGCATTCCACAACGTAAACGGGTCCTTCACCGAAGTTGCATTGAGATCAAAGAACTCCCTTAAGCTAGCAGTAATGGCTTTCACCGTATCAGCCTGCTGTAAAAGGAAAACATTGTTACGCCAAACAAATGAGTTGAAGGTCGGGTTGCTAGATGATATCACCATCGAAACCGGAGCATGATCAGACCAGGTGATATCATGGATAAGAGTTTTTTGTATCCGAGGCAGCAGTGTTCGATCCACCAGGAATAGGTCTAGCCTGGAGTACGAGTTATGTGGAGGGGAGAAGAACGTAAAGTCCCGTTCACTGGCATGCTGGCATCTCCAGACGTCAAACAGGCCATTTTTGTTAATAGTGGGTTGGAGGGACGGTAGTTTCCTTCGTGGCCAGAAAGTGGAGTCCATTGCCCTATCAGGTGTCAGGTTGAAGTCACCACAGACAATCAGCTCCCCCCTTTGGATCTTCCGAGATTTTTTAAGCAGTCTATCGACAAATCGTGTCTGGTGGGAGTTGGGAGCATACAGGTTGACGATGGTATACAACCTGGAGTTGATGGAGCAAACCAGAATGATGAAGCGGCCCATGGGGTCAGTGTGCGCCTCAAGTTGTGAGTAGGACACCGTGTCTCTTATTGCTACAAGTACTCCCTTAGTTTTGGAAGGGGCATTTGCCGCGATGATGGTCGGGAAGCTCCTGTGGGAGCACAAGGGTGGGGCCGAGCTGCAGAAGTGTGACTCCTGAACGCACACCACATCCGCTCGGTGCCTAATGGCTTCCAACCACAGTGAGCGGCGTTTAGCTGGATGGTTCAGGCCTTTGGCGTTAATGGATAAGATGTGGACTGCCATGGGAAGGGCAGGGATAGCTTATGTGGATGTGTCCAGAGTACTCACGGTGCCACGCCAAGGCTACAGGCCGTGGTGGAGAGTTGGTGTCTTCTATGGAAGCGGGGTTCCAGGCGAAATCCATGAAGCGGGTTGGGCGCTCTTGTCGTGGTGTAGGGTGTCTGCTCCCATGGTGTGGTAGAAAAAGAAAGCAAAGACTGGAAAAAAGCGAACATAAAAACGTCAAAACGGAACAAATTTAGGGTCGCAGCGGTCGCACTTGCGACCAGGACCAGGTGTTCCGCCAGTTCGGGGGGGGCGAGAGAGGCGAGGGGCAAGGGGAGGCGCGCCGCTCACAGCTACTCATGCTGCCCGCGGCGGCGCCGCCGCGGTCTTCACCGATGCCGCCCGCAGTGTCTGGTTCCGCCCAGCTGTCATTTGCGTGGAGATCGGTCGGCTTTGGCCGACCTTTCTCCACACTTCGGCTGTCACTTTGGCTCAGTCAAGCCGGAGCAAATGCCTTCGGCTCGGCTGAGTCACTTGGCTGCCTTCGGCTGCTGTACGGGCTATTGTAATTAGCCCGTACAGCAACCCTTCAGTTCGACTGGTGACTGCATTCATTTTCTTTTCAGTTTTGTCCACTTTTTTTCAACTTGTGATCCTCCAAGTAGCGCACTTCATGCCTTTGGGTAACAGCGCTCACTCACTGTTCTGTATTTATAAAAAAAACAGCGTTGTCACCCTAGGCTGTTCTTCTGATTCAGGCTACAAACACCCCTCCCCTTATTTACATTACATAGAGGGTGGAAATATTTTGTAGTTCATGGATGATAACAGGCAAGGCTGATAATATAGATAATAATACGTTTAGGTAAGTTCACAGGAGGTTTCAAGGACATGGGAGTTCTAGAAGAATCAACAAGTGTGTGTTTTTTTTAAAGGAGAATTATGAGGCGAGTAATTTTCACTCAGCCTCATAATCTGAGCCGACCTGTGACAATGAAACTGTCACAGGTCGGCTCAGTAGATCGGGAAGTGAGCGAACACATAGCGTTGCTCGCTCACTTCTCGATCTATCCCTGCAGAGAGCCGTGACTGTCACTCACGGCTCCCTGCAGGGATTCCCCCCCTCCCCTGTCTGATCCTCCAGCGCTGACTGGCGGAACGGATGGGGAGGGGGCGGGTACAGCTGGCTCTGGCTTTAGATAGGCAGAGTCAGCTGTCACTCACGCAGCTGGGTGGCTCCAGACAGCATTGCCGAGATCTGTTCCGGCTGCGGCGTCTCAGTATACCGTTACCCTTAGGAGAACTATGGGGAAAAGCCCTAAACCCATAGTTCTCCTTTAAAGAAAACAAATGCAACCATTTCATGTAAGGACTGGTAATCTTCAATATGTAACACTTTTGTTTTTGTGTTTTGATATACTTTAGGTACTCATTTTTGCACCATTAGAAAACACTATTGCGAAACTATAGTTGCAAAAAAATGGGGATAAATCAGACTTCAGCCATGTGCGTAGATTGGATCACAATGTTATAAACACGTCCTAAAATGTTAAGTGGTTTAGCACGTGTGAACTACAGTGAAAATATTCTATTTTCTTTATATATGTATATACTGTATATATAAAAAAAGAATACATTGATTGATACATTTTTTTATTGCATTTGGTAATTTACAAGGTTGTTACATATAGTCAACCAAGTGCTTTGGTTATAAAGATGTTTTTGCAATGTTGTTGGAAAAAAGGAGCTTAACGAAAAAGACATTGTTCTCTCTAATTTAGACCATCACAATATATGACTGAAACAACAATATCACTTAAGAATTCATAGGCTCATATTCAATGTCATAGAACATAGAAATGATAGAACAGTGCTTGATTTCCTTATTTCAATTCTTTAAATGTTTAATGGTCATAAGTAGTAGTTCAGGCATTGCAAACATTGATTGATAGAAGAAGTACGTCCTGAAAAGGAAACAAAAATAAATAAATCTTTACGTGTAACATGGCTTACCTGTAAATAATGTGGACCTGTGGGTTATCTACAAGAGACCAGAACTACGGTTGCAGGCATGTGATGCAGTGATGTCAAATGGTTCCCTTAATGGCATAAGCATGCTCTCAGTTTAAAGCGGACCTTTACACTCAAATATCAAATTCTACCAATGCATCCCTCTATGTATGATGATTAATAATAACATAGACATGTCAGGTGTAAAATGATGTGACTATGAAATACTTACACTTGCAGAGCATTCACTTCCTGCTTTGAAAGGGCAAATTGACTTCAGTTTGGCAAAGCAATGCACACTGGGATTGCCTTGTCATCAGCAGAGCATTGCTGGGAAATCTCATCTGTAATCTCACGAGATCTCAGGGAAAGGCATTTTCCTCCCCTGAGAGGCTGTTCATGGTCACATATTTTGGGCACATGTCTAGACACATGTGCTAGAAATCCAGGAAGTAAAAGGAGATCTAGTAATCTGCCCTTAGTAAACATGGCCACTGTCAGAAGACTGGGGAAGAAAAGAAAAACAAGGCATGCAAAGAATACAAAGCCGGCAATTATCTAGAAGTATGTGTTTGTAGATTGTCATTACTAAATATTTCCAAAGGTGTGTTTGTTGTTTTTCAAAGGTATGGGTAAAGGTCCACTTTAGGGGTCCCATTAAAGGGTCTCATTAATGCTCGTATTAAAGGGTCCAGCCACCCAAAAGTGGTATTTTAGGTACTGACAGAGCCTGTTTTATTTAAATTAGCCCCTGGAATCTTAGGTGTTTTGGATACTCCAGCAGGCAGATGTCCCTGCCATGGTTCCCAACTCTGTCATGTCCACCTGATGTTTTAGGTGTTCCTGTCCACTCATACATGTATCAGCATATCCTGTTGCATTCCTTATAATATAAAATACAGTAAAAAAAAATCCAGCAGGGAGAATGGGGGCCTAGAAACTGCAGAGATCTCATCAATAGGTTTTCTGAAACATAAGGTGGTTCACCTTTCCAGCATCTGATAAATATTTCTAAAATATTAATATTAGTATTAGACAGATGCATTGATATATATGTATACATTTGCAGTGGCACTTTCATAGTAGTGTGCTGTCAGACCTCGATTTTACCAAAGGTGCAGCGTATGGGACAATTTGTGGAGCAGTGCTTAGGAACCCATAAGACCGCCTAACCAGAATAGCTTATCAGAATATGATATGAACAGAGTACGCTTCATATCAATAGTTAGAACATTATTGGTATTTATACAGAAACCTCTCACTACTGTAGAGCCCCTACTATCCAAGTCTGTGACCTTTATCATGCATCTCAGAGTTTGGAACTATGAAGGTTCAAAGGTTCAAACTCTGTTCAAGTTTGGGTGTCTGAATCAGACTAACGGATGCTTAATAGACATGTGCACTGCCAAAAAATTTGTTTCGTTTCGTTTTAAATTCGGATTTGTGTTATTTCGTTTTTCATGATTCGGGTGTGAAAGTCAATTCGGATTCGGAATTCGGATTCGGACGAAATTCGGTAGCGTTAGTACGAACGTTCGTTTCGTTTTCTGTTCTTATTCGTTTCTTATTCGTTTCGTTCGTTTGCAGCAAAAGTGACATTTGAGGGGGAAAAAATATTTTTCTCCTTCTCTAATGTCACTTTGCTCCAACGAACGAAACGAATAAGAAACGAATAAGAAACGAATAAGAACAGAAAACGAAACGAACGTTCGTACGAACGCTACCGAATTTCGGAAATGGAAATTCGGATTCGTTTGCATTCGTTATGTCTGTAATTCGGAATTCGGATACATCCGAATGTCCGAATTTCCGAAAATTCGTCCGAATTTCGATTCGGAACGAAACGAATCGCACATGTCTAATGCTTAACCATTTGAAGACCATTTGAAGACCAGGGTGTTAAACCCCTTTCCTGGCCAGGCCATTTTTCAGTGTTCAGTGCTGTGGTACTTTGACTGACATTTATTCCATCATGCAATGCTGTACTGAAATCAATTTTATACCATTTTTTGGGCACACATAGAGCTTTCTTTTTGTGGTATTTAATCAGCACTGGGGTTTTTACTATATAACAAAAACAATTAATAAAAAATACTTCCACTGTCCATTAATATGATGAATATATTGGATGGATGTTGTGGATGACATTTGCACATCTTCACTTTATTAACTATGCTAAATGAACCTTCTCGGCAATATTAGTAAATCCACTCCAATCTGTCTACATCCTGTGCTGCATCAGTATTCATTTACAAAGCCTTTAAAATTTAATTGTTTTAGACATACCACCAACCTGGAATGTACTGACTGTTATTTTCATTCCTTGTTGGCATCATTTCACCATGAATTCAACTTTTTGGTAGTGACAAGTGACCAAGTCCTAACCTCATACCACGCTTCTAACAGTCAAGTTCCTTCCACCATAGCTCAAGAACCTCATTCAGGATGAAATATACGTTACCTTAGCTATTTCGATCTCTGCCTTAGAAAAGTCCATATCCAGAAGGTTTGTTATGTCCGGGAGAGGAATTGCTGTTTGTGTCAAACCTGAAAGAAAATACCTAAAATATCAACACAATCATTTTTTCTGCTTGGAGTTTTTCTTACATAAAAAAATGTAGGTTTATCTATAGGATACTTTTTTTGGTTTTGTTTTACATAGAGTAGAGAAATAGTTAAAACCCATCACTTTTTCATTGTCCAAGCTCATTAGAGATATTTCTGTTGGAGGATTTCCTTTTACCCCTTGTTTGGGTGACCAGAATAAAACATCTGTAAAACATCACGTGCTCTCTCGCTGACAAAAAGATTGGTGAATCTCAGCAAGTACCCAAACAGCAGTAAAAACTTGACACGACCAGTGACACTGCACAAGGAGAAAGAGTAGCAGCGACCAGTCTTTATTACCAGAAGCTCCTGGAGAGAGCTAAAGTTTCACACTGAATTACTGCACAGATCTTAAAGATCTTTACATTCTTCTTGTATTTAGATGATATTTGCATATCCTGGAGATCAGGATCTGCTATGTAATGTATAATGGGTTAGTATGCAAGTTAGTACTCTTGTTACATTATGCCTGTATAGGGTAGTATTTATTATGACCAATAAAAAAAATGAAATGAATTTTCTGTACAATTTTTATTTTTGAAGCAGCAACAATTTACAGAGCTTTAAATACTGCACAGATACACAAACCCCTGTCCTCAAGGATCTTAACATGTTAAATTAATCTATTAATCAATTTTTTTGGATATGAATGATTTTGGATTTTTCAATTCCCTTAAGACATTACAGCAGAGATCATCTGAATTTACTGCATCCACATGGGCAGATTTACTAAAGGAGTTGAGATTCTTCACACACTAAGGGTTTATTACTGTTTATTAATGCTTTCACACAAGATTTACGCATTTTCCTATTTAGATTCAGTGGTAAAAGGTGTGAATCCTGGGTTTAAGCTGCACGAATCTTGTGTAAAAAAAACCCCTAAGAGTGGCTGATTTACTAGAGCATTAGAGAATGGTCCTTTTGCAATAGGAATTTCCACTTTGCAAGGGAATTTTCACTTTGCATAGCGAATCTGGTGAAAATTCACTTTGCAAAGTATACCCAATCACGTTCAAGAGGGAAAAAAAGTTGGATTTTTGCTTGCATATCATTGGATGATAGACGTCAGCACAGCTTCCAATTATTCACTAATGTAAGGGAAATCTTGCTGGCAAAATCAAAATTCACTCTGCAAAATAAACATGCTTTACTCTTTTAGTAAATCAGCCACAATAAATTGTGTGAATATTCTCTTCATGTGTAGATAAAATAAATAGGATTTGGTTTATTTTATCAAGTGAGAAGTATTGGGAAAGTAAAATGTATTCTTCCTAAAACTTAGAGCTGGTGTGTGACACTGCAGGTGTCACATGTCGGCTCTTAAGATCACAAACCGCTGATCAATCAGGTCACGGTCTTCTCCCTGACTGTCAGTTAGGAATTCCCTAACTGAGGCGGGCACAGCTGGTTCTGGCTCTAGAGAGACAAAATTGTCAAGATCCTCCCTAGCTACAGCGCATCTCTGAAAGCCATTTCACAAAATATTTTATCAAATAAGTGTCTAGAGTCATTAATATTATTATCATTATTCTGGATCTATATAGCACCAACAGTTTGCGCAGCGCTTTACAATATAAGGAAGACATTACTGTTACAATACAAATCAAGACAAGATGGTATGGAGTGCCCTGCCCGTGAGAGCTTAAAAGTATATCTAAAAATAATAAATTGTGGCCCAAGTTCTACAGCTATTGAAAGGGCAGCATACCATTTATTACGGGACTGTAGACTTCTTTAATGAGGGAGCTGATAAAGTCACTCAGGTCTTGAACCTAAATAAAATACAAATATATATTTTATAACAAGGTAATGATTTCCTTCATTTATTATAATCGTGCACAGTAAAAACATTGTAGCTGGGAAAAGTACCCTTTACACCAGGGGTGGGAAAATCGTTTGGTCTGGCCCTCCGAGTCGGCTCCCCTAGTGTGATGCTGTTGACTATAAGGGGTGATACCCCCCTCCCAACCTGCGGCGTCCAACACATTTCGACCTGCCCCTCCCCTCCTGTCCGTCCTAAGGAGCACCTGAGCTGCTCAGCCTGCACTGGCAGACTGTACCTGCTGGCCGAGACTCAGAGAGAGAGCCCTGAATTTTGTTATGCTCTGTGGAGGAGTGCCTGTGGAGGTGAGTTTGTAAGAAAGTTTTAACTGTTTGTTATCTTGCTCTCAGCACACTGGCAGTGTTACACTTCCTTCTGGTCCTTAGCTTTAGCTAATGTGTGGGGGGGGTATGTTTGTGTGTATCCTGGGGGGTGTATTGCTCGGGAAGGGGTGTGTGTATCCTGGGGGGCATTGCGGCAGTTCCAGTCTTCACATTAGGGTGAGTTAATTAAATGTTTGACCAAATATAGCAGGCTATTTTTTAAGTTGTTCATTTTGTATGGCCCACAAATGACGTTATAAATATCCAAATGCCCCTTGGCAGAAAAAAAGGTTCCCCATCCCTGATTTACACACTAAAATGTTCCAGGGGAATGCAGAGCAGGTCAAATCTAGTGAGAAGACAATCCAGTCCATTACAAGGGCGTCTTATTAGAAGATTTTGGCTGCTGTGGGCTACTCTAGATGCTATAGGTAGAAGACAAGAGTAAGGTAAGCAAAACCCTAAAAGCCCTTTTTTTTACAGGTACATTTTACACCTACTATTACTAGGTGATTTCTGAAAGGAGAGGAGGCCTCGGCAACATAAGCAAACTTTCCATTTTACTGCGCGTAAATCATATGTACATAAACTGCATATAAATTTGCCAAGTCCACAAATCCCTAACCCGTAGGATTCACCTAGGGTAATGGCAACCCTGAACTTCTTCCCTAGGGGTGGCATATAATATTAACCTGAAGAGCAGAGAAGAGGCAAAGTACTGGGATGGAACCTGTAGAATCCATGAGTTCTGAAAACTGTATTAACCTTTTTATGCTATGATAACATTTAACATACCAGGGACAAATCTTTATAAACAATTTGGCTAATATTGCTCTTTTATAGCTATATACCTCAAAATCTCCAACAGATGAAGTCATCACAGACAGGAACATCCTTAAAATTTCAAAATAGCACTGTTACAAGAGTTAACAGTTAAAAGAAAGCATAGTAACTGAAAATATATTAACCATTTTAGCTCTTCATTGGTATATCCCTTATGTGCCAGAGCAGGTTTTATATTTCTGCTATGGGTCTATTGATTTGGCAATAGTTTAATGCAACTGAAGTCAAAAATATGAAGAGGGATTAGAACACCTGTCAGATTTTTATTGTAGTCTGTGTCCCTATTGGGGAGATTCACCCTCTCAATTTGTCCTGGTGACTGTTATCACTGAAAGTGAAAGAAAATCTAAAATTTTAGGTTGTAATCAGAACAGTAATAAATAGACAATGGGGACGCTAGTTCTGATTAACCTCCAGACCACCAGCGATTTTCCTCACTTTGGAGAGATTTCTTCTCACTTCCTATTGTGACTATCAGACAGGAAGCAAAGGGAGATCTCCCCAAAGGAACACAGAAGACACAATAAAGCTGACAGAGGTTATAACTCTTCCTTACTCTATCCAAAACAAAACAAAAATGTTTTGGCTTCAGTTCTACTTTAATTAATACATATAATGGGCTTTTTTTTTTGGAGTGGGGGACAAGGTTTACATTTAGTGATATTGTCTTGCAATCATTCTTTTATATTCTATGCAATCTATATAAAAATGCCTAAAGCAAACTAAAAAAGTGCCTTGCTCTACTTTGACCAGCGTTAGTTTTTAAGCAACTAGTGATACTGTGTATGAAAAGTATACATTTTATTCTATGATTTGTCCCATTTATAATGTAATTTACATTTATGATTCTGGTTTATTGCAGAGCCAAGTTATTTACAAATACATGTTTTTTAAATTCTGCATATTTTTTTACATGCAACTCTAAAACATTAATAAACAAAATGAATTAAAATAAAAAAAAGTTTAAATATTATTTCCTTAAAAATAGAAACAATAAAAAAGATGAGGGGAAAAGGGACTTAATTAAGGGGTAACTAAGATCTACTGAGGGGTTTAATATGAACTGTTTTTATATTTAAAAAAAAATTAAATACCAATGTTTTTATATGGTATTTATGAATGAAGTTGCGGAACACTTTTTTTTAGCACTTTTCAGGAGCTGTGATGAAGGGCAAAAGTCAAATGACAGCTGGAATTTGCTGGAAAGAGAGGCAAGGAACAGCAATATGGCACAGGGAATTTAGGGTTTCTCGCAATTCTATTATCAAAACACAAGCCAAACATGCAAACATCACCCAGTGGCAAACCAAAAGGCCAGAAGTGTCCTCTAATTAGGTAGCTCAAGGCAGTTGACTCAAGTGGCATCTCTTTGGGTCATTGCATCCTAGGTTATTAAGAGCCAGGTGGGGAGATGTGTAAGGGCCATACAGGTTTCTCCACCAAGAAGTTAGCAACCTTGGACACTCTTGCTGGCATCCCGCTGTGCTCCTGGCAACTGGTAAAATCACTGGTTGCCACTTCCCCTTCTCCCCCTGCTGCCTTTGAAACAGAATAATGGGATGTAACTGAGTTGCTTGTCTGGTTTTGCCAATGTTTAATTTTACATTTGAAAATGCAATAAAAATGATCTGATTTAAAAGAAAAACTCTAATAACTAAAATATTTTTTGAAGGTCCCACCTAGTCTGGTAAATTAATAACTAAACTGGATCTTACTTGTCAAAGGAGAACATTGAATGTAAGCTGTTTTCCTTGATAGATGACTGGATTTTAAAATTCATATGCTGAAAAAAGAGTAAAGAGAAAAAAATATGAAACTCTAACATGTGATCACATTTGCAAATTGTAATTAAGAAGTAAGCAGTGGCTTTGTAATGACTGTTTATGCAATGTAATCACACTGTATTACCATGCCACCATCCTCAGACCAGACTCATGGACCACATGAGACTGAGGAACCTTGTAAGCTTTAGTAACACAGTGCAAGAAGAAATGTTGTAAGTTGACAGTGCAGCACTCATATAGACAAAACTGAATCCATCATGTACTGGTTTAACTCCTGTAAAGTGAACTGTGACTGCCTGATGTGGGTCACTGCCCTTTGCTACATGCCCGGTTTATTCAAGAAGCTGGTGTCAATCACAATGTTTGTGTGACATCAATAAATAAAGATATTATAATGCAAATTATTATTATTATACAGGATTTATATAGTGCGAACAGTTTGCTCAGCGCGTTACAATATAAGGAAGACATTACAATACAATTCAAGACACGATGATAATGAGGGCCCTGCCCGTGAGGGCTTACAATCTGAAAGGGATTCCAGTAGCCACTGAGTTCCGAGCCACTTCAACTCAATTACAGCATTTTTTTGCACTTGATAAGAAATGCCATTGAAACCAAAATTCCCCTCTCCAGTGACATTGCCACAAATGTTGCTGCAAAGAGTTGGTAATAGTCTTGACTGCATCTGTTTACATATACAAAATAATTGATATCCCTAGATTGGAAAGTCATGACACCACATCCTGGATGTTAGAAAATACAAAACCGAACAAGAAAATTTGGGACTTTTGAATGTTTTATATTACATTATAAATACAAATTGATTTTTTACGTATTCATTATTTTAGTCTTGATACAGTATATTTAATTGACACCTCGGAAGTCCCATAGTTTTTTGTTCACTTTTATACCATCTGTTTACATGGATAATTTGTGCAACTTTAAATTCCAAGTCCAGCTAAAACTTTTTTAGTTTTAGATAGAGTAAGGAAACTTTAGAATCATTGTTGGTATTACTGCTTTTCCTGCAGCTTTGTAAGCGAGTAAGTGAAGATAAATCTAACAGAGCCCTGAATAGCAGTACAAACCCAAGTAGAAGCTCTAATCCTTCTCCATTCTATCCAAAACATGGCTAACAAGAGGTTACAAGGTGTTTCCTCTTCATCCTTCTCTTTTGCTTTAAAAGTTTTTGGAACATTTAGTTGAAGATCCTTTCTAATCTCTTTTAATCTAATTTAAGGTGTCCACAAAGAATAACATTGCAGCTACTGGATCTCGCAAGACCTCCTAGCTGTCCACATTGCATGAACATGCATTCTTTTCCTCTGGGGAGGTCAAATGCTGTGGATGCCAGCCACTTATCGGAAACTTAAAATCCATCCCAGTCCAACTACTTTCTTCCCACAAACCGTGGGCTGGGACAGCTTGGGTACAGCTTACAAACACATTAATGTTCCCCAATCCATCTGAACAGTCCAATTGAGTTCTCTGATGTCTGTAAACACTTTTAGAGGCATAACTTAGCATTTTAAATCAGAATAGACCACTTACCAGATCAATTACAAACAGGACTGAAGGCTCAGATTCTGAGCTGGATGCCATTACTTCCATGGTGGAGTAGAGATGAAGCAGTGCTTTAGAAGTACTTATGGTAACTAAAGGTTGTTTATTCACATAAATATGTATCTTGTAATCTTGAAGTCCTGGTGAAAGCTGCAAGTGATAAGACATATAGAAATAAGTGTTATACATATGTTTAATACTGTGGATTCCAAGGGGATATTTATCTGACTTTTGCAGAACCTTTGAACGCTAGTATTGTGCAAAGGCAAAAAAGAATGTTCACTGCATGTTCATTGATCAAAAAATATTTTGTATCAGAATCAATCAAACCATCATCAAATGCCCGAAAAACTACAGTTCTACTTTTTTCTTGGACAAATACAGTGAGATTAATCTCAACTGGTTGATATGTATTGAGATCTGATAATCACAAAATTACATTGCAAAATCTAATTAGCATAATATGATGTGCCCATAATAACAATGGAACTGCCCTTGTCCACTGTTTTAATTACAATATTTCTCTAATGTCAGGTTTTGGGGTATTTGTTTTATCTTACAACATTCAGACAGAAAAGTTGTTACATCGGTCTCTAATTTTTTAATGTACATGTGTACTGCCAGTAAGGATGTAGGTGGAGCGACTGAACTTTTGGAACATAGATTAAGATTATGAACCGATAATGGACAAAGGAGGCAAATTTGAGGTAAGTGTAGGTCTACCTATACACATCTATAACAGAGCTTTCAATCTAAACTGCCTATAGAATCTATTTAAGTCTTGTTCTAATATAAAAGGATCCATCTTAGCATTAGGACAAACATGCTTGAAGTATATGTAAAGGCAAAAACATTTTTGGGGGATAGAGTGGGGAATGAGTAGATCCTCTGTGAACCTTTTACTGCCATGTCCCAAATGTGTGGAACTTCTCTTTTTGTTCTGGGGAGCATTGTTACTGACACAGAAAATCCAAACTGTATTCAGCAAAACAAGAGCTGAGGGGAAATCATCTAACTGTGGCACATTTCCTGGAGACAACTGCCTATATGTGAACTGTGAATCGATGTGTCACACTCCATTTAATAGTCCAGCTACATTTTTATTAAATATAGGTTTGAGGGGACAGTATAGAAATAGCCAATGAATTTTGGGTACTAATACAAATACAAATACCTCCTTCATCAGGTCTTACTAGGGAGAACATGTATTAGGACTGTGATGGCTTGAAATCAAATACCATTTTCTGCAGTGTGTGAGAATGTATAGAGCTCTTCAGGAGCTAATTTGGCAGCCTAATCAGTAGGCTCTGATGAAGGGGGTGTTTGTATGAGCCTCCAAAATGCTTTGTCTATTTCTATACTGTCCCTTTAACCCTACATTGAATACAAATGTATCTGGAGTGTGGCATTTAAATTTATCATCCTGCAATTTGACACCACAAACCAAGGAGACAGTGGGGGTGATTTACTAACCTAAACACACGCACACACCAGGTGCGTGTGATTTTCACACAGCAAAACGTATTTATCAACCAAAAAGTCTCTAAAAGCATATTTCTACTAATGCCATATATGGAAAAATCATGCACATGATGCATATATAATGCTGCTTCACAGTTTAGACAAAAATGGTTAGCTCATGCATTTACATTCCTGCATTCATCAACGCAAGCAACATAACATAGAGCTAATTTACACAACATCACCTTGGAATTCATGCTTGGCTTTGCACAACACACCTGCTGGGTGTGTACATACTACAAAGGTGTTTAGATTCCACCCATAGATCATGCTGGGAGGGAATACACTACAGAGGTGTATACATGTTCGTGGTGTGTTTATAAGGTTAGTAAATCAACCCCAGTGTATTTCCTCTGGAATGTAGAAGCTGCCAGTCTGGTAGTCAGATCACCTATACCGACTTTCACATCCTTACTGACCAGCCACACCAATAGGACAAACCAGGTCTAGCGCTTTTATTCGACTACTGTCTGTTTAAGATTGGAATTATCATCATTTTGGACATATTTCTTCTTGTTTCCTATTGAATTTCCTTTCACTTCCAGAACAGGAAGTGAAAGGAAATCTCCCCAGTGGGACAGAGATATCAAAAACAACCTAACCTGATAGGGGTTTTACCCCTAATACTCTATACAAAAAAAAGTGAATATTCTCTTTTTGCTTATTATTGTGACAGCAATGGGTTAATCATCAAGCATCAGTGCTATTATGTGGAAGGAAGGGAAATATGGTAAATGAGGGGAAAGGATTTGGAAAATAAAAACAATGCACACACATACTCGAAGTGCACTAACCTCAGGAATGATGTCACTAAATACAGAAGTAGAAATTGCTCCGGCATTTGTAATCTAAGAAATAAGAAATGATTCCTAAACTCATGGCATAAAATGCAATTTTTAATTAAGAATAAACAAAACAAAAATGTGCTAAAAACCAGAATTAATTAGATGTATTATCTACATTTTGTATATATTTAAACTTCTATTTGATAAATGGAGATATAGCAGGTAATGCCAAGGCCTAAACAAGTGCTTACCACAGCCTAGTGAGAAACAATTTCTGTCTAAGGTGATGAAGAGTTTAGAGAACCTATTAAAATGACACTAAACTCCTCAGGAGTTAAATCTTAAAAATATATTCAAGTAACCTAACTATTAATGAAAATGTATCTTATTTGTGTATCACTCAGCTGTAGATCATCAGATCATCTCTGAATTGCTGCTGACACTGTCCTTCCTTCGGGAGGGTAGCTACTTTTATTCCCCATGGTCCCTGTGTGTCATAAAGTAGCCACCGCTCCAAGCTCACTCCTATGATGGACTAGAATCTCACATTTAGTTTATTAATTTGTATTGAGATTATAGTCCATCACAGGAGGGAGCTTGGAGTGGTGGCTACTTTACAACACACAAAGGCATATATGTTCTTTGAAATGTAATACAAATCAATTAAATAATTTTTAAATGGAGATATAGCAGATATGACTCTTAGTATTTTCAACTGATGTTTTCAATTAACTGCAAAATGCGATTTGATCATTTTTTCAATGATGAATGGTTTCTTTGGGATTGCTCGTACTTAGATTATTCACAAATTGGTAAGTGTATGGCCACCAATAATGCCACTAGATGTGCTGCTATGTATCAAGCATATGGACTGCATTATAAACAAGACATTACCATTCACTAGAGATGCTGAGGCTGGGGGAACTTTCATAACTGCTTTCCTCATGTCCTCAGAGAGAAGCCTTGACTCATATGTCAACAATAAAATATTGTAACTTATTATTATTGGTTCCTTGTGTAGCCCCTTTCACCCTAAGTTGAGTGGCTCTTCTATTGATTGCACCTACCTGTAGTGTGGGTGTGACCCTGCCATAGAGTGGGGCTGCCAATAGGAGAATATTAGGAGTGTCTTTGCCTCACCAGCCAATCACTAGGAGTTTCATGGCCAGTGGTGCATGCTGGGGATGTGCATTATTACTCAGGGATTGCCATGTGCTCAGGGCAGTCTGTTCAAGGTTGGAGAAGCTGACAAGGCCTCACGCTTGGAGGGGGTCACATGTGGACCCTCTTTCCCAATTATGCTGTTCTACAATAAAGCATTTAAAAAGGCACTTAAAGTGACTGGCAGCCAATTTACTGTTCACATCCCACAACCCGGCTAAGGATCCACCCCTGAGAGTGAAATATCAGCCCTCCCTACCTTTGCCTTTGGGGGTCCACTGAAGGCCTCCGGGGGTCAGGGAGGTGCTACACGTGTTTTTGTAATTTAAAAAAACAGAAATCTGCATTGCCTGTGTATTTGAGTAACAGATCCTTAGGGGTGTATTTATAAACTGTTTGCAGAGCCATTCGTGCTGTGAAACTCTGACTTTTTGCACGGTATTATGGTCTCTAGGTGGATCTGAGGAGCATACAGAATTTCTATGCTTCTCTGCAACATCTAGTGGCCCTAATGCCCTATGAATATAAAAATCAGATTTTCACAGAGCTAACGGCTCTGTGAATGTTTTATAAATATACACCTCTTAGTAAAATAAAATACCTATGTTATACTTTTCATTTATCAATTACTAATATGTTTCTTACTTCATCTTCAGTTGTATTAAAGTTAAATATTCCTTCTTGCTGAAGAAGAGTGAAAAAATATCCAAGAAAGCTGGCTTTCAAAACAAGCGTTGTGGTTTGGGGATTCGATGGTAGAATGAAGGGATCAATGGTGTTTTCTGGAGGATCGACAACATCTTCTCCTTTAAGTAATGTAACCTTTATAGAAAAAAAAGTATAGTGTTTATTAAAAAACCGACTAAGAGGACCTAGTCTAGACAACAATAGAAACATAAAAGCAGTTGTATTTGCCTGCCACCTGAAACCTTAGTGAACTTACAATGACGATCTTTCGGTAAAGTGCTTGCTGTTTTATATTTTCATGATTGTTTTACGAAAAAGCTTCAAAAAGCTTTATTGAAGCCTTTTTCTTTAGTTTCAGGTTGGGGGGAGGTTAATTATAGGCCCTAATGGGAGTATTGTCTATCACTTTAAATAAGAAGACATCAGTTTTTCAAAAGCTTCAAGTAGTGCTGAAACCTAATAAAGCCAGCTAGCAGCTTCTTTAAAGTGGTAGATAGCTCTTCTATTAAGACTTATGCTTAACCTCTACAAAATAGAGCAAAAGGATGCTTCAAAGGCTTCAACAAATCTGCATGAAGCTTGCTGAAAGCCCTACAATTGCTTTGTAGAAGTCTGCTGTTTACACCACTCTTATACAAGCTGAAGCCCATGTAAACAAGACCTTATAGGGATTTATTGAAAAAAAAAAAAAAATGCTTAAAAATAAAACTAGCAAAATTGTTGAATTCATCATTCAAAATTGTTGAAGCCATTCAAGAGTACTTGATATCACCTTACAGGGTAACTCCTTTCCCTTGCAGGGTCCTGTGGAGTCCCCCTTGTGTGTGCTAGTAAGCTGTGTGTGTCTCCACAGACACATAGGCACAACAAGCCAAACTACTCGCCTCCCATCTGCTCCCTTCTGCTTCCTCCCTTCTTCCTTCTCTAGGCTAGTAGATGGATAGCAGCTATAGACTACTCGATCCTTTCGATCTTGTACTCAACAGGAAGTTCATGAAAAGTGAGCTGAGAGAGTTTGAGCTGTTTGGAAACATGATGACCATAAGTGATTGGGCAAAAATGTAATGTTTGTTTGATCTGGATTGATTATGTAAAAACATTTGAGAGTTTAATACTACTTTGAATATTGGCTAGGCTTACGTTTGATTCCATCTCGACGTGATCTCCAGTCACTGTAGGTACTGGAGATAATACATAGTGAAGGGTTCCAGAATTTCCAACAGGCAAACCAACTGGATAGAAAAACAGTGTTAGTTCATTATACGTTTTAATCATCACTACAAATATTGTATACCTCACTGGCATGAAGCAGCAATATTTAACAAGCTCTTCAGGAGTACAGGACAAGACTCTTATAGGACAAACCCCTCAGTGATTGGCTAAGGCTGATAACTATTCTTCATACATGTTTGTTTCTCAGACCAACAACTAGAGACAACTCAACAGCAGCAAATTATGCCTGGGAGAAACTCTGTATACACAGAACCCCTCCCCCCTCCCCCCCCCCCCCCCCCCCCAAAAAAAAAACACACACAAAAAGGTCCCTAGAGATGAAAAACATATCTAATAGCACAGTGCAAAGGTAAGGAAGGATGAAAATGATCCTCTTGCCCTTTAATTTGTTATAATTGTTTGGATCTGGTCCATTCCTATTGTCTTCTGAGTAAGAGCTCATACGCCAGACTAATTTATGGGAATAAATTAGTGTGGAAAGAGAATTCTTGGTTCTGCCAGGAATATTATGAGACATGGCTCTGTGACCTTGTATGGAATTTCTTGCTGAATATAAGGACAGATGAGTATAGAACTGGGAAGGAAGACTGGGGGCATAACCATATAATCTGAAATCAATGTAGTTTTGCCCAGTAATGTCAAAAGAATTATTCAAATTGGAAAAGGGCAAGGCTTGATCTTTATTGAGGTAGTGCATTTAACTTAAAGCAACCACCATTAAAACAGAAATCAGTGCCAGTCATTCTCTGTACAATTTTCACCATAAACTTCTTGCTGTTACCATCGTGTTTAACAGGCATTCAGTTACATCGGAAAACCAACTTTAGAGTCCAAACATTAAACAACCAACCAAATGCCGGCAAGATTGCCAATTAAGCTATTACAACCAACTGACTTTGGAGAGGGAAAGCAGGGATCTTATTGCTGCAATCCATAAAGCTGAACTCCAGAAACGATCTTTAATGGAAACTTACATTGGTTCAGCTTGGCTCAATGTAAGTATCCATATCTGATCTCTAGAGGGCTGTTGGGGATGCTAAAATCACTGTAGTAGTCTGTGCTACACAGGGCCATGTCTATAATGAGGCAGCTGAGACAGTTGCCTCTGGCGACATCTCATTGGGGGGCAGCAGGTTTGGGAGGGGGTGTATCTCAAAATGTGTCATATGGTATCTGGATATAGCCAATTTGATTCATCTATTTGTAATATTACAGCCCACTGGAATCCCCTCCTGATGAAACCATCTTGGCGAAGCGCATTGAGGAAGTTCCATAGTGTTGACTATATCACTGTATTTGGGTCATGAGAACAGTATGACCATTATATTGCTGTGAATTTATCAAATGATGGATTCCATATAGACTTGATGGGCCTAACTTAATTCATGTTAATAAAGCTTTGTTATTTTCATTATAGGCCTCTTTAGTTGCCTTAACCACCCCCCCCCCCCCCCCCCCTTTTTTTTTTTCCCCGTCT